GGGTACTGAGGGTGTGTCGATTTGGTTGCAAACCCCAAAAACACTTCTGGCAAATTTAAGCAAAGGGAGAATTTGTTGGAAAGTTATGAAGATGCTCCTAAGATGAAGGGGAAAGAGGAAACTGGGCAGGCTCCAGTGGGTCTTGGCAGCCAGTTTAGCAGGGTGGGTGGGGCACCTCTCGGAGAACCCCCACACTTCTGTTGCTTTCAGCCTTACGTGCAGCTCACAATTCAGACTAATAGGAAAAAGTGTTGGATGGGTCCAGCATGGTGGGGCACTTATTACCTTGTGCCCCCCACCCTGCTTTCCCCATCTATCCAGTTTACGCCTCCAACTATTTATTACCGACTCTTGAGTGAATGCTTCTAGGTGCCCAGCCGCTGGTCTGAGATGCCATTTGCCATCCGAGACATCCAAGTGGAGGTGTTGGGTGGGCAGTCATACATCTGAGAGCTGATGGAGGGGAGCTCTCAATCTATTTTGAGGTCATGGGCCTCTCACTCCTGGAATGAAACCCTAGGTCCTGGCTAGCATCTGGGAAGCCCTCCATGTCTCCCTCCTGCCCGGCCAGTATGGCCAGCCATACCGGTCTCCTCACTGCCCCCCACATATGCTAAGCCCATTCCCTCCAGTGCCCATGTAGAGGTGGTGCTTAAATTCATGGGAGAAAGGTCATTCCTCAAAAGGAAATCAGGGTGTTATTCCAAAAGAAGGTGGAATGGATGCTGGATGGCAAAACCCTGCAAACATCTATCACAGAGGATTCTAGAAGAGACCCATGACTGCAAAATAGGTTGAGAATTACCGGTTAGTACTTGTGGCTTTTGACACATATATGTATCCAATACATTTCATGAATCCAGTACATTGTACATTAGGCTTATATGGCGGCCTAATGCCATCTGTGTCTGTATACGCACGTAATACATAATACTGAGACAAAAACTTTACAAACTTTACAAAGTTAGGTTTGCCTTTATCCCATCAATACTTCTCACGTTTTCTACTTCTATCCTGGTCCATTAAAAAAAAAAAAAAGACTAAACTGGTCATAACCCACCAACTTGATTTTATAACCCCCTTGATCTGCCGTTAGGCATGGGGAGGGGCTCTAGTGGACCTCTCGCTTCTGCCAGCTCCCCTCCCCTGCTGTCTCCACCATCCTGTCTCCCCTACCCCCACTCCCTACCCCTCACTTGTGCCATCTTATCAAGTACCTAACTGGCTTCCTTGCTTCCCGCTTATGTATAATCCACTGTACCAGAATAAATTTTTCTAAAGCCCAGCTCCGATAAGAAAAAAAAATTCTGGTGGTGGCCTCTTCTGAATGGATTTTTCTTTCCTTTGGCCATTCCTTAGTGTTCTTCCATGTGTTTTCTCTCCTTTCCCCTACCTTCCCATGATTACCATGAATAGCACCTTCTCCCAGAAACCTTCTTCACTCACTCAGTCACCAAATGTTTGCTGAACCTACATATACACTGTGTTAGATTTGGGAGAAATACGGTATTGAGCAAGCAAGGCAGACGAGAGCTACTCACCCACAGTGTTTATGGGAAAGGCGGGGTATAAAGGATCCTAATCTAGTGGGAGAGCTTCCAGGAAGGCTTCCTGCAGGGGGTGTCAATCAAGAGAAGCACTAAAGGGGCAGGTGTGTGTGCGTGAAGGCGTGGAGGTTAGGTGGCAAGTCCAGTGAAGGTGAAAGAGCCCCAGATGAGATCGTGGGCTGAGTTCCAGGGGCAAGAAATAAGAGCATTGAGTGGGTAAGGGTTTGTGTGGAGAGAGAAAGACAAGTGGTAAGTGATGTGGTTGCCAAGCTACAAAAGATGCAGGGAACTGGTCATCATGATAGTGCTCTCACCCAGTGGTTCTCACCCGGGGTCCGTTCTGCCCCCCTCCGGGGGCCACTGGGTGATATCTGGAGACATCTGTGATTGTCATGACTTGGGGAGGGAAGGTGCGCTTGGCAGGGGGTGGGTGAGGCCAGGGATGCTGCTCCACATCCCACAGCACCCAGCACACCCCACCAGCAAGAATGGTCTGGTCCCAAGTGTCCACAGTGCCGAGGCCGAGACACAGTTGTGAAATGCTTACTCCAGTACTGAGTATTAATTTATTTAAAGCTCACAAGGCTGTGAGGTAGGTATTTTTATTACCTTTTTTTGCAGATGGAGAAGCTGATTGAAGTACGGCTGACCCTGAACACCATGGGTTTGAGCTGCGTGGGTCCACTTACATGCAGACTTATATCAGTAAATTCAGTACAGTGCTGTAAATGTTATTTTCTCTTCTTTATGGTTTCCTCAATAACATTTTCTTTTCTCTGGCTTGCTTTGAGAATACAGTAGATAATACATATAACCTACAGAACATGGGTTAATTGACTGTTTATCGGCAAGGCTTCCAGTCAACAGTAGGCCATTAGTTAAGTTTTTGGGGGGGTCAAAACTTATGTGTGTGCATTTTTTGGCCGCAAGGAGGGTTGGTGCCTTTAACCCCCATGTTGTCCATGGGTCAGGTGTAATATACCTGAGGACACAGCCCGTGACCGTGGAGTTGGCACTCAAACCTGTATAGCCTAGCCCTATTTCCCCTACCATGCTTCCTTTCCCGGCCAGGAGGAGTTGGGGAGTGGCAAGGAGGAAGGAGAGAGTGACCGTGTTATGGGCGTTTTGGGGAAGTAGGAGGGGTGGGGGCAATGAAGGTGGCCCTGGGTTTCTGGTCTGGATGGTTGGATGGCTGGTGGGCAGCGCCGTGATGGAGGCCCGAGGAAGAGGCCCGAATGGTCAGATGCTGAGTTCCTATTTTGCTCTGTGGAGGGCGAGGCCCCCACACACCCCTGAGCAGTGGTGGGCTGGGCCACTGTGGGGCAAGTCAGCAGCACGTGGAGGGGCATTTCCATTTGGGTATGGACCAGGTCACAGAAGGTGTGGAAGGATGAAGCTCTGGAGTAGGAGCTGGGAGCAGATGGGCAACAGCCTGAGCTGTGGGAGGAAAAGTGGTGGAGGGGTGACACCCTCGGCTAGGGAGTCTCTCTCCCTTCTTAGCACATCCACAGCTGGAGTGTGTGTGTATGTGTGTGGGGGGGGGGGGGGGTGTACCTCACAGCTTTCTTCAGAGTTCTTGCTACCAGAGAGTTCCCAGAGGCAGAACATCTGTGGGTTCCCCTGCCTTCTTCCCCTCCCCCCACAGCTTACTGAACTCTGCGGGTCATCAGGATTGTAATGCAGCTCCATATCACCAGGGATCCAGGCTCCTTCTGTCTCATTGCTTTGCCATCCTTATTATAGGACGTCCACCTCGAGGTTTAAAATGGCTGTTGATGCTCCAGCCATCATATCTGCATTCCAGCAGGCAGCTTCAATTTTCCCATGTGTACAATGTGGGTAACACCTACTATCAAAAAGAGGAGATTGGACAGAAGCATCTAGTGTGGAGCCATTGTGATTAGAACCTCCCAGAGGCTCTTGGTGGGACTAGGTTCCCTTTGTTGTTTGGTCCTCTGCCCTGGGTCGCTACCCAGTGGGCCTTCCGAGGGACTTGACAGCCTGTGGGCCCTTAGCAGTCTGTCCTGCTCATCTCCTCTCTGGCTCCTGGGACGGTGGTCATGGAGGCATCACCTGTGCTCACTCCATCACCAGCCACTCAGGCCCAGGAGCAGGGCCTGGCTCTCCTCCTCCAGGGACCCTGCCACCCCAGCACCGGGCCACCTCTCAGACAGGGGTGGCTGCTGCTTGGTGCAAGGGCTGGCACTGCTCAGGGGTCTCAGGCTGGAGAGGGCCTGCAATCGTGAACCACGAGTGGATGGGGCGAGTCGGGGTTCCGCTGGGTTCTCAGAGCCTGGCAGGGACTCGCTACAGAGACAGGGCCCGGCCGCCCAGCTGAAGGGGAGTCTGCATGGTTGTGTCCTGGGAGATTCCCAAGACTGGTCACAAAATTTGCACTGGGGCCCAGCACAAAATGAAAGTGTGGGCGCTTTGTTCAAAAACTATTAAGAATTTCAAGACGGTGATGGCAGAGCATTAAGCCACGTGCAGGCCCTTGGAGGTCCCAGCCCAGGAAAGTAGTAGACGATTTTAGTGTCACCTGGGGGCCTCAGGGCCTCTACCGGGGACAGATAGGCCTGGGCTGGGGCCAGGGCTGAGCATCTCTGGGGCACGTGGGGCGCTGGCCTGGCACGGAGGAGTAACTTTTTAGGGGCGGCTGACCAGGAATTGTGTCCCACATTTCTGGAACATCTTCCCATCTGTGGGCCGTTCCTCGTTCCTGAGCCTGTTGGTCTTCTCTGCAGGGTTTCTTCAAAGTCCTATAATCCCCCGTGTCAGAGCCCCTCAAAACCCCCCAGAGGGGAGGTCCAAACAACTCGGGTTCCCAGCCCCCATGGTAATCCCACCAGGCAGCCTCTCTGTGGACGGGGCCCAGGACTTGGCCATTTTAGAACAAGCTCGTGCAGTGATTCTTCCCAAGTTTGGCTCCCCACCCATCTACTGAATAAGCCCTGGGAACAACCGGTGGATTTCATCAGTGCCTGGAGCCGGGATTTATTCTGCCATATCTGAGTAAGTCTAGTCTGCTTACAAATAGTCTTGACCATCCTGGGCTGAGAATTGTTTTCTTGCCATCTCTGGCCCAGAGCTGGCCTTGCTAAATGAAGCTCAGGGAATCTGCTCCTTCTGGAACGCTCCCCAGAGAGTCAAGAACAAAGTGCTGGAGGCCACTCTTTCTCCTCGGAGCCTTGCAGGGCAGGAGCCCGGCCAGGTTGGCTGTCCAGGGCAGGGGACTGGCCTGAAGGGAGGCCCGTGTCCTCCTGGGCCACCGTGTGTGTGTGTGTGTGTGTGTGTGTGTGTGTGTGTGTGTGTGTGTG